AGCAACGGCTCCGTAGAGCTGGCACTCTGTGTGGATTAAACGTGACAACATTCTAAGTCCGCGAGTGTTTGTTGAAATTCGAAACCGGGCAAGTAGCGGTGTTACAACTTAAAGCACAGCGAGAAGAACCCTCGATGAAGACGTTTGAGGTTGCAATTTTGAAGAGCTCCCATTTGTGAATACAAATCATTAAATCCCATACATAAATACACCTAGCTCGGTGACAGCAACGTAAATAATGCGACATTATTGATAGCAATGGGATAGCTAACAAGTGCGCGAGAACGCACGCCACAGTGCACGATTTTCAGTAGTATTGAGCATTAGTGATTTAAACAGTTATTTCACCAATAATGAAATAACAACTGCAACTTGTCACAACGTACATTTCTGCACCACTGGAACTTGAAAATGCTGGCCTATATCAATGCATGGCATTATTTGTACACAAAAGACGAGGCAGAAGTAATTTTCCATCTGATCTGGTTCTAGCTATGTTCAGCACCCACGGCACAATGTTCGATAAAGCCAATCCCTGAGATGCGCCCAGGGATTGGCGATACAGCAAATAATCGTGTCTTGGGGCTAGTATGAAAAGACATAGAAGCTGAGAAATTCACGTAATTCAGTTTCTAATCGCTGATCCCGGGGTCACTAGACAAAGCACACATCGATACAAAGAACGGAGGTTTCAAACACATTTAGTACCCCGAAATTAGTTTTCCTCTGATGAATCTATGGGCAGTGCATGGTGCATTTACACGTAAGGAAATGGGGCGCAAAGTTAATATAAAACAACTAAATGACAATGAACTTGATCTGAACTAATTATACACGTATCAATAGTTTTTTTCAGTTCAAAAAGTTATCGACCATGTGCATATAACGAGATAGAGCACGACCCGATATCGTTGTTTATGAGGGATATTCTTCAACTTGAGATAAAGCACAGCACGATTGCGATACAAACTTTAATCTAATCGTAAAAGGTATTAACAAGCCGATTGCAAGATTAAGACGTTTTAAAGTGTCCTGATTTATGTTCTTAAACGATTAAATACACGGGTTTAAAAAATAAATCGCATGCCCAAACGTAACAACGTGCGTGACGTCACCGGCTTTAGCCCGAGGGTGGATTTGGTGAATTACGATAAGTTTATAACCAGCACGGGGATCATAATTATTTGTAAGAACATTTTCACCAAACATTTTGTTATGTTAATTCAGTAGGTGATTTGATCCCTAACAATTCATTTGAGTAAATAACAGCGTGAGTATTGAGCATGAATCACCGTATTTTCATGTTACCACTTTCCCTCAGTGCATCACTCAAGACTATTTGCATTAACTGAACATATGTGTTTGTATAAATGTAGCACTATCATCGTAAATACTAATGGCAGTGAATTTGTTTTGTTCAAAAGAACTATTGAGTTCATTAGCTCTCACTTCTTGTGGTGTATTGTGGAAAGGAATTTTCAACATTGAACCAAACTGTGCCTATATGCAATTGTATATTGACTACTGCATAATGAAAGTTAACAACGACAGGTAAGGTGTTGTTGAGGAATCTAGTTAGAGCAGATCTGACAACCGACTTTGACAGTACCAATACTCTGATTGTCCATGTTAATATCAGTTGTCAGAGAGAGGTAGGGCGAGGACGGACTGTTCCTTTGATGGTCTCAAAACCGCCGTGTGAAAGTGCGTTAAATACAAACGAAATGCCACTAAAATGTTTCAATTCCATATCGAACCACTTTATAAAAGACAATAAAACAAGTCAAAAGAATCTGATTTATTTTACTAGTTGCTGGAGGGAAATGGTTTACCCGCTAATAGGGTTGTCATCAGATCTCTAATTGACTCAGTGGCAGTAAACAACGGGGCATTAAACTTATACAGTTCACGACCATTAAGTGATATCGCATGTTCACTTTGTCCATGGCCGTCAACAAGGTTTGTTCTGTGGCCATGACAGGAATGTCAAGAGGGATTTAGGACAAGAAAACAACACAAAGATAGACATGGCGAATCGTGTTTGAGGCTGATTCTTGGCTCAGATTTGAAAGTTGTGGGGACAACGGCGGACAATAAGTGATGGGTATATTGTCGTATCACATGTTTTGTAAAATAGTCAGTATTATCATTAAACAAACATGATTATAAATGAGCTCGAATTCGTCCACCAATATATTTTGGAGAAAGATAGCGGTGATATAAACTATGTGCTCGAATCATGATGATAAACCACATCATTTGGACAGATATATCATATGATCTTACCGCCAGTGTCAGACATATTTAATAGTAACTCCCCCTCCACAGAGCTTCGAAATTAGCCCTATAGCCCGGTGTAAAATCGAAGAAAACAAACCACTGTCTGGTCGCCGTGCTTATACGATTAAAGCCATAGGGTAGAATTAATTCATATCTAGAAGACCCATTGTATTTCTTCAATACTGGACCTTGGGCCACTCAAAGTGCCCAGTAGTAAAGTGCAATCATACTTATGGGTCGACGGTTTTTCACTAGCCTGGGGCCACGCACTAAGGCATGAAACCAAGTCATAGCCACCACAGAGTGTTGCTTACCGCGTTGCTATGATCAAACGTGTGTTAAATACCTGTTATACTCTCCGGAATTGCCAAGACGCTGTACCCAGTAAACAATTCCGACTTGCCCCGTCGCAGGTGGGGAATGCTCCTTGGGTAACTGCGTTGGATCCAATGAGCAAAGCGTTGTGAACTACATTGAAATCATAAAATGACAAACATTGTTGTGATTCAGGGGTTGACGTGGGGGCCAGGTGAAATTATGGCCGCTTAGGCTAGTATTACACGGCTCTTCAGCCTCGTCACGGTGTATACATAATGCAACAGGTGTGGTTGGGCTGAAAAGGGATCGTTTTACAACCCACGAATCAGCCTGATTGCGTGTAAAGTAACTTCATGTTCTGTCGGTTATTGCTAAGATACGCACAAATATTCGCCACGTAATTATTTTACTCTCTCACAGGAATGCGAAAAAAAGCTCATTCATTTGGGAGTGTCAAGGTGGTTAAACAGAGATCAAAACTCTTCACTCGTTGCGAAAGGGGGATAAATGAAACTGTTTCGGTTGTCACGCAAAATGCAATCAATCGGTAATACGTCCTCGCTCTCTGTGAGTCGTGTGGAGGCGCAAAATACATACGTATACGTACCTCGGTAGTCAAAAACAAACTATACAATCGTACTGGGTGCAACGAGTGGTAACCACGGACTGAAACAATGTTGGTGTCAATGTAAGGGTATACATAAAGCTACATTTCCCTCGAGGCGACTTCACAGCAGTCCGAATGGAACACAAAACATGACTGCATGTAGCGATGCGGAAAACGGATAGCGCTCCAATCAGCGTGGCAACAATTGACCATCTCTTATTCCCTAAACATATACAATTGCAGGTTTCATGTTTATGACACAGCAGAACAGACAGAAAGTGACCAAATTACCGAAAAATAAGCAAACACACGTACATACACGCTCCCGTACTGAGCTGATCCAATCATATAATCATGTCTATGATATCATGCCTATGCGGGGACTGAAATTAGCGTCCTGGAAGTTCAGAACATAGAAGCTGTGCAGTATCACATTTCCCGAACACTCGAACATTTAAATACATTAAATAGAGATACAGTGTTAGAGTGACTTTGCACCCACGGTCAGTCGTTACGCTGCCTGATTTACGGCATATAATGTTAAAGGTGTGCGTATGTGACACCACGTTGGTTTTTAGTGATTATTTATCGATTTTTGAGCTCGCGTTTTACTGCGCGATAGCCAATCAAACGTCGAAAAATGGACCCCATGTAAGTTAATCAGAATACCTACCGTCGTTGAATATCTAAGCTGTTAAATAGCATGGTCTGGTTACCAGAAAATCGGATAGCACGTTGCATTAGCTGCTTTAATGGGGAAACTGTTTTTGTGTTTGTTATTAGGGGTTATTTTTACATAACCGGAGTTGGATCATTCTGACACCAGTTTGCGGCAATGTTCGTCTTTTGTTGCATGTGAACAATATTTTGAATGGCTTACCATGTATGCCAGTTTGTGGGCGTGGGAAGTGTGTATTCAACAAGCGGTTTACAATAACAACCGACTCGGAAATCTATTATATTTAAAGTTTCTAATAAAACAGCTATTGTATTTGTATAACTCGCTCATAATTTTACGAAATTTCCACTCAAGGTATTTTGTTGATTATCGAATTATCGCCGGTCCTAGTCATTAAGTTGGTCGCGGTTAGTTACCGGAGTCTGAACGCGCGGTCATTAACTTAAAATGGACCTGTTGTACATTTCACTGTGGTTTTTAAAACGATGGATTGCTTGTCGAAACTGTTGTCTACTTCATTTGCGTCATTCTGGTCGTTGATTGTACTACATGTACTTTGTATGTCACAGCGGGGATATAGGCTTCATGGCCACGTTACTCGTCATTTCCCGGCGGACGAGGGTCGTCAGTCGGCTTCCACTAAATATGTGTTCACAATCATAACCAAGCTGTGTACTGTAACATTGAATTGTCGTACTAGTTGTTTGTTCTAGGATACAGGTACCATCCATTCATGATTGAAATAAAGCGAACAGAAACACGAAAGAAACTTAACAAAGGCAATTCATTTACTTGTATTTGCACCAAGGTTGTGGGTACAGCATGAGCACTGGCTTCGACAAAGCGTACAGATGAAGTCGAAAGAATATGTCATTATATACATATATATATATTCGTAGTACGTCACATATTCATCTATTTATCTTGCCATCGGGGGAGTAATTTAGTGAATAATAGTAATAACTGCCATTGTCTCATGGTTTTCTCCAGTTTAATCGTTGAAAAATGATTGGAAAGGGCATCATGGTGGCTGGGATCAATCGTTAGCAACGAGCGCTCATTAAAATAACACACAGTAGAGCAAAGTTCGACATTGATAAAATATGACCGACTCACCTGTGTTGTGGATTTCAGGCCAACGACTGCCACAGTTCTTGTTCGGCACCGCTTTCCTCGCGGGCTGCAGATCCCTGATGTCTTGGTAGCCTATTAAAATATGTTTCACTATATCAAAACCTTCTCTGTAGTTAACCGCACATGTCAAGTATCTCCAACTGCGTGTTACGTCCGTTACGTGTTCGCTCATCAGCGGACAACGTTCAATTACGTGTACTCGCCCTTTGGTGAAAATGAAAACGGCGTTGTCGTCACTAGTTTGTGTTCACGTACGGTACAGTTAACATCGGCGACGGCGGCGAACACTCTTATTCATAACGACGATGGGACTCAGTAGGTCGGTCTTCTACTGCACTGAATTACACTTCATAGACGTAGAGGTCGAAACACCGCGAGATCAAAAGTTACCCACCCCTTTATTCTAACTGTGTAACCGAGGTAGCGGGTCTTGTTAGATTACGCAAGTAGATCGATGAGCGATTTGTGTAGGCAGCCTCCAAAACAGTAAACAGAAGGAAGACAGCAAAACACTATTGTTAACAGACGCGCTTTCACAGTTCGTTCAATAAATTGAAATCTATTGTATTTAGAAACTTTAGTCAATCCAGAGAAAGAGATACAGGTAATGACAGTAAATTGGCCGATCTCAAGGTATTGAGCATGCGCAGTGTATTTTTCGTTGAGCGGTGGTTTACCGGTACGTCGTAAAACTAGACTACTAACTATAATTACCCGTTGAAATGGTCGTAACAGAATATTTACACAATGATATTAGGGTAGCCCTTAAGGGTCACACATCCTGGTACCTATAGGAGAGAGGGTGTCAGTACTAAACTTTATTCAACTCAAAAAGTCGACCTTGGACATTTCATAACTACCGCAAACTTATAATAGGAATAATTTTTTTTTTTTTTTTAATATTGTTTTATTTGCGTCACGTTGGTTCCCAATGAGAAAACAAGAATTGATCACAAACTCCATGGAAATGGCCTGTTTGTACTATAATACCTCACTGGCGATGAAGGCGACGGAGACATTTTGAACAATTGTGAAACTGTTACTTCTCATTTAAAAATAAATCCCCCTATTTTGTCCATTTCAAAATATATCATTGTGAAGTTTCACTAGCCGGATTGTTAACGCCATGGTCGTCGGACCGTGACGTGGTCGATATGGGTCACACGCGAGGTATACAACGCTTAGAACATGTTTCAAACATCTTCCGTTTGCCGGGCGCACTCTAGTAGCCGAAGCACTCCAGACTAACGCTAATGGGGCGATTATACTTTAAACCGAGCGTTGCTGTTTAACTTATCACAGCCTGTTCCCAGAAACAGTGCAGTGACAAACCCAGGAATTAATTAGGAATAAAGATCGCGACTAAAAGGTACATTTGCCTCTCTGAAAGCCTAGCAAGGGCAGTGATAGACTCTGGTAAAAAAGGGCCGGACATGTTTGTTTTCCTCAGTAAATTACCATCTATGTTTTTGACATTTGTTGGTTATTTTTTTTTCCAAGACGAAGATTTAGAACAGTACCACGTCATGTATATATACCATATTTACAAAATCTTCATAGTCAAGATCCTGACATTCGACAGCTTAGAGAAGTCATGCGATCTCAAAACGTGAACAAAAAAAGCACACACGAATGATACTGGTGTAACAGGAATAGAACAAAAATGCTTTAAAGATATGGTAGAGACTTCCAGGAAATAAAATTCACATTAATCATTTTCATAGCAGAATTGTTTTAATAACCATAATAAATATATATTTTATGAAATCTCATAATTCATACTACTAAATACAATAAATAGTGTGTGAATAATATTTTGTGAACACTGATTTATTAGTAAAACGACCGTATTTGGCACACTTGATCAGTAGTAATTACAATGTATCAATAGAAAACAAGACATTTGGCAAAAACCAATTAAAATGTACATATATCTATAAAAATCTAAGTTGTAGGGTGATACATGATAACACAACGTCCTGAGAACCTGAATGACATCATAATCTCCACAATTGCATATAAACGTTTCCCTGCACACAATGCATTGTTCGTCGCCAAACACCTGCTCTCAATAACACACCGACACGTTTGAGGCAACCGGAAAACTTATTTAGGACATATATGGCATCCATCATGTTGAGGGCGCTACATCACAATCGCCATTTCAGTTCATGGATCAGACCATGATAAAGTGAATACTGTTCAGTTTGCGAAGAATGGTGACGTCAGTACAACAAAAAACATAATTTCATCAAAGAGAATAACAGATACTAGTAAATGATCACGTGGTAATGATGGTTACCACTACGGGCATCACATGTTCAATCAGCTGTTAATATAGTTGCTCCAGCGATTTTGTAAATGTCATCATGTCGGTTAAATCCACCAGTTGGAAATATGTCTCTAGGTAGTGATGGAAGAACTCAGGAGCCTGAAATGATATAATACGATTTGTGTAAAGTAAAAATGAAGCTATCTTTCTGGATCGCACAGTATTTTGTAATTGATCGAATTATATAACATACCTCTCGCCGAAGTTCTTTCAAGTACAACAGCTGCTCTCCCGAAGTGATTTTTTCCAGTTTCGAACTGAAACATAAACATAAATTACTGAAAATACTTTACGGGTATGTCATTTTACAGAAATCATATCACTGTTTGATGAAAATATCAGCTAATTGGCTACAACGAAGAAAGCATGTCACCGCCACCGGGTTGTTAGCTGGATGAATAATGAGCCTAAACATCAGTCACGTGCTTACCGGTTCAGATCATTTTCAGCTATCCACTTTTCGACGTTCTCCTTTGTCCACATGCGGGCGCTATTCGTCGATGAGGATGTTACGTCACCACTCCCCGCTCCCGACACACTGGTGGCGTTCACCATTTTCTCAGTGATTCTGGTCTTTGTTCCCCGTTTTGTCCGAACACCATTTGTCACTTTTCCCCGCGTGCCGAGCTCTTTCATCATAGCTTGTAACGAAGATTCGAAAACGTCCTCGCCAAGAAACTGGAAGTAAAACTTTGTACCAAGTATAGCTCCCAACCAGCCATCCGGGTGATAATCGGATCGTACTTTTATAGGAACGATCTTTTTACGACATTGGAAAGCATATTCAGCCTCTATGGAAAATAAGTTGAAAATTGATATATTGATTGAAATGCAATATGTTGACGAATTACCTATTATTATCTTGAACGAGGTGGCAAAAGAGAAGACGTCAAACGTGTGCGCACATGGTGATGCACGTAACCACTCAAAATAACGTTGAGACTACATACCAGTTCGACAATTTGGACTGTCTTTATAGTTCTGTGTCATACAGACGACGATGGCAACTGCATTTTCAACGGCATCCGCCATAGCCGATAAAGTAGACCCGCCCATTTGTTCGATGTCCATCCATACGTTGTATCCCTCCGCACGCAGCCGATCTTTTATACGTTTCATCAAATTCTGGTTATCCCATTGGTAGCTGATCATCACGTGACCAACCTCGTCCCTGGCATCAGTTTTGAAGATGTGTTCCATTTCATTGCTTGATCTTTCTACGGATGCGAATGCAAGGAATAATTGTACGCACAGCAAGTAATTACATTAACATATTCGTATACTACTTCATTGAAAATGAATATCTCCCGATAAAGGTAGATATTAACATATTTGCGATGCATATTTTCATGTTTACCTTGTTGGGCATCTTGGTCCTTTAACACCCATAGTGCGCCCTCACATGCCCTTTTCAGTTGTGTATTATTGCTGCTGCGAAGTTGTTCCAGTTTCTCAACCAGGTGGGCATGCTTCAGTATCGTATTTTTGTTATCGTCGTTGAAAGACAATTCCCAAACTGTTTCCGTCGCCGCTAAATAAACGAAAAAGACAAGAAGAATTATTTTTATTATTCCGATTTGCGGTTTCAGTACTAATATGCGTGGTGTTTTTGTTCGGGCGGTGGTAATTCGGGTGAGCTTATCTCACCATTGTCCATGCAGCTTATAATTTTAATTTTCGGGTCCATAAATGAGACATACAATATGACTACATATTCTAAGTGAGACTTATCCTCAAAGAGATACCAGTGGGTGGCAGATAGAAGGAATAAAAGCCAATAACAACAACAAATTGCAAAGATATAACACAACACGAGAACAATGTAATAATTAAGTCAGATTCAGAAAGAAACGATCACTGCTGTCAAACGCCATCAGTAAAAAAAACTGGCATGACTCAAAACTGCCCTAATTATGCTAACAATAGATTCTTTTAACCCCATTTGCACACACCAGACATGTCGGATATTTGTAGGTCATAAATACTGTTTTCTTGTTCGTATCCAGTCGTGTAAATTCGTCGTCGACTTTCTTATCTATCACAGCACTGCATTGAATGTTTTATTTGCGATACTAAAACATTCTGAACAAGTTGCATTAGTCTAGCTTCATGGCATAGGGGCGGTAAACCATTCGCGTCATGAACCACCTTCGAACAAGCCTACGTAATGAACCAGTTTTGCCGTTACTTTAGAAACTTGCGCGCTTTGGCGTAAAAACGTTTAAATTTCGTATGCGAAGAGAATATTATCCAAGCCCCGACTGATTTCTGCAACGGACGACATTTTACACGACATTTTTTTCACATATTTATATATTTTATATAAAAATATTCCCTCAAGCCAAAATTGGGCAACTTTGATAAATAGCCATGGAAACAAAAAAACAAAAATAACAAAAAAACGAAGTTGCTAGGAAAACAGAACGTTGTTCCTTCCCAGTTTTAGTGTATCACGTGCACCAGTTCATTACAATAACATTACTTCCCACAACGTAGTCCGCGATAAAATTGTTCATATTTACGTTACATAAGTCAAACATTGATAAATAGCTCGGTTATCAAACAACTGCGCAAACACTTGCCATGAGTAGTTAGATGATTTACCGCAAAATTGAACGCTGCCTGTGGCAGAGGTACTATTGCGTAAAAATCAACCTATGCAAAGAAGATTGCGTAGGGAGTTGATTTCGCTACGTAAGCGTTCGATAGCTCATCAGAACGTTGGGAACCAGGGAAACCAAATTGAACGAGCTAGAAATCACCCCCGCCCCCATCCCATTCTCGCACAGAGACCGACTGATGGCGCTGTAACTCGAAACTCGTCTGTTTGAGCGAAGAATCACGTGCACAAGAAAGTGGAATATTACGGTCTATACTGTGATATACTGCACAAACAATATCTGGAGTAGTCTGTA